ACAGTTCTGCCTGCAGCACCCATTCCTTGGCACCTAACGGATGCCATGGATCTTAACTGTACTCCCTGAAACAATGAGTATTTCTCCAAACTAATCCATCGTTCTTAGTACCCAGAGCAGTGTCCAGCCAGCTTAAGTCAAAGCAGAGGGACCTTCTTACTTTAATTCAATATTCAGATCTTTTTAAAAGGGTGGCCCATTGTCTCCATATTCAGTAAAATACCTTGATAATAAATTTCTTTGATGATAGAAGCTTTTATTGTGTCTCAAGGCCATCATTCTGAATATTGGTGATTACTATACACTCTCCGTGTTGTAGTCAGCATGACATTTGGCTGAAATGGATGTGTTATTCTAAGTTCAGTTTTTAAAATAAACTACTCTTACATCAGTGGTTCTTAACCTTTCTGGAGTCATGAACCCTTTTGAGAATGTGATGAAACTTTTGGGTCTTCTTTTGAGAGCAGTGCACAGGCACATACACACATGTTTTGCCTACAACATTAAGACTTCCTTATTCATTCATGGATCATGAAATCTGGGTTGAGGACCTCTGCCTTATATGATACTGTGGTCTTTCATAACAAAAGGCATGGAATGCATTGCTATTTTAAAGAAATGGTCTTATGAACTTGGTCTTAGTTGATTAGTTGCAGTTCTTACCATGTGGATGCTGTCTTTCAAGTATGGACTGGATAGGGTCATTGATCTGTGTTGTCATTCTGATTATACCCCTAACTATCTGTAGCACTTTGTGATGTCCTGTAACTAGCAAGATGTAGTAGAAATCAATTTAGATCCTCAGCCAGAGGACCTACATTCTTGACTTTTCTATGCTCTACTAAGTTTGTAAAACATTTTTACAGACACAACTCTAGTGTAAAATGAGGCACATCTGCCATGACTGTATTTCATTGTATTGGAAGAGTGCTTTCCTTCCTGCCATTTCATTTTATCCTAACAAAGACCTGAAGAGACAGTCGGTGAGTTATACTTTTTCAACGCATAGGAATAAATAAGGAAAGGAACACAGAGAGAAGCATCTTCCAAATGAGTTACATCAGGAAATATACAAGAGGTCCCATTCTGGTTCTAGCTCCCTCCTGTCTTCACCATATGCCTGTGCTCTTCAACTAGCTTCATGATTTAATTCAGGCTACACCAGAATCTAAGTCATCCAGGCATAAATGGCTGAACCTATTTTCCTCAAAAGAGGTTGTACAACACTCTGACTGTGGTAGAAAGAAAAGTTGTAGGCAAGTATGAATAATGACTAATAACATTTTGGCTGATATGGTCGGTTACTGGTATACACAGTTATTAATCATTTTATCTCATATAAAAGGGGCCATCTTGGAAAAGATTCTAAGTTTGAACATATTTCTGTGTATTTTTTTCTGAGCTACTCTTAAGTATACTCAGGAATTAGAAATACAGTTTTTGTTAATTTTACCTGAACTCCCCAGCATATTTTTGTATTTTCCAAAAATCCAGCCCTACGAGACTGCTTACTTTTCTCTTTGTGCAGGAAGGAAACTGAGGTTGGGAATGATTTAGTCTTTTGCCAGATATCACCTATAGCTGATCAACAGTGGACCCAAGAGAAGATCACAAGAAAAGAGTGGGGGACTATGATTCCCCACTTATTTTCCTATCTTTTAAAGCAGGAAACTGAGTATCTTGACACTTAGAAACTTAAAAATCCAGCAGAGAAAGGTTCATAAAAGCAAAAAAGTCATAATTAAGTGTATAATTGCCTTACAAATATTACAATTATATATGTGTCCACTCTTTTTCCTCACTCTCATTGAGTTCTACCCCATCAGAATATGTTTCCCCAGGGACTTCCCTGGTGGTCCAATGGCTAAGACAATGTGCTCCCAATTCTGGGGGCCCAGGTTCAATCCCTGGTCAGGAAACTAGATCCCGCATGCTCCAACTAAAGATCCTGAGTGCCACAATGACGACCAGGTACAACCAAAAAAAAAAAGTATGTATTTTAAAAAATATATATTTAAGAATATGCTTCTCCAATTAAATAGTTTTACCTATGATCTTACCTGGGCTACCCTCATAGCTCAGTTGGTAAAGAATCTGCCTGCAATGCAGGAGACCCTGGTTCAATTCCTGGGTTGGGAAGATCCCCTGGATAAGGGAAGGCCTACCCACTCCAGTATTCAGGCCTGGAGAATTCCACGGAGTTGGACACAACTAAGTGACTTTCACTTCACATGATCTTACTTGGTTTTTTCAGGACCTGTCTGAAATGTGGAGAAATAAGCTTGCCTTTTCTCCAGTTAAAAGGATAAAACATTTGCTATGTTAAATGTTCGATGTCTCAAATTAAACATGGGCATCCGAGCTCTCCAAAGGGCACTGTTGTGTCAATGAGTGATCAGAAACTGTTTAATGAGAACCAACTGTTGTACTTGGCACTTTGTTAGGCAAGCCAGAAAAGACAGGGAAAAAACCCCCAAAAAACTATAGTCCTGTTACAAAGAAACTGGGAGTGGAGAGTTAAAAGCAAACCCCTGAGATGGTTAAATAACAGTGATGTCATATGTAGGAGTGAGCACTGTTGAACAGAGAGAGATGATGATCAGTACACTCAAAAATGGTAAATAATGGTTTCGTGGGCAAAATAAAATTTTGACTTGGACTTGACCAATCACTTTGACTGCTTGGGCAATGACATTAGAGCAGGAGTTAACAGGAGGTGTGTGATGGGCAGTGGGTGACCACTGTGACTGCAGGACTCCACAGCTGGGATGCAAAGTGAATAAGTGGGTGAGTAGGTAGGCGGAGAGCTTGATAATGGCAGTTCAAGGAAGGTTCAATGAATCTGAATCCCAATTGTGTAACTTTGGGCAAATTACTTAACTTCTCTGTCCCTCTGTTTCCTTGGGGAATACAATGAGAATACCAATAACCCTTCTCTCACATTGTGGTTGAGAAGATTTAATTAGATTTATTACTTCTAAACACACGGTTAGAACAGTGCCTTGAATATGTTCCATCTACCTTCGTAAGCTCTTTTATGCCCTTTGGTTTGATTGGGAAGTTACAAACAGTTGTACAACTTATAATCAGTTGTAAACTGAACATGTTACAACAATATCAACTATTATATTTAGGGTAAAGCCAGAAAATAAAGACTTGAAAGTAGTCTGAGAAGTTTGAACTTGAATAAATAAGAGAGACCAGTTCCCAGCCGGAACTGGATTTAGACAAGCTGGGCTTACAAGGGATCTACTCAAACCTCCAGAGAACTTGAGTATGTCGCTGCAATACTGGTTGCTCAAATAGCTCAGCTCTGTGGGAGGAAACTGCTTGGTGACCTGCACGAACGAGCATGTAGACTGGTGACAAAACAGCACAGAAGGCATTTGTCTGAACAAAAAAATGGAATTTCAAGGGATTAAAGTTAGTCAAATTTTGATAGTTCTTTCTCTTGGCAGTGGGTCTTTAAGGGTCTAGTTCTGAGGTTAATAAGTAAACAAACTGGAGAACCAGGTTGGTAGATGGAATAGTAATGAGCCCCTCTTGGATAGTTACTGAACAGTCACTAGGAACGTGGAGAGAGGATGTCTCCTCAAGAGTTCTGAACAGACTCTGCCTTCTTTAGAATCATCTTTGACCCTGATAACCTCTAAACTCGGGACAAAACTACACTGATTCATCCTTTGGGCATTCCAAAAAGACTGATAAGCAAAGCTAGACAACTCTGTCCGATTATTAAGGGTGATGAGATAGAATTCACTTCTGGAATGTACTAATCAGGAGTCCTGAGACCCTCCCTAGGTTTACTTTAGTGAGGTTCTGCTCCAATGTAAATGGCCTGGTCTTTGCATAATTACAATGACTTCCCTCTGGAATTTGCTAGTGATTCTTGATCTGTGAGTTGAAATGGAAAAGCCCTAAGACTTGACTTGCTCTTTTCATTAAATGGAGCCAAGCTCACAAATAGGTAAACTGTTTTTAAACCTACAGCAGCTGAAGATTTATTTGGGATGAGTTCAAAAGTTTTTCTCAAATTGGGGAGAAAAACTTCTGAACTCATCCAGATTTGATACTCTCCTCCACGCTTAATATTTTGCAAACTTGGCTTCTGCTGTCATCTTTTAGGAATTTGAATCAGTGACTTCACTTATTCATGATGGTGACCAAGGTCAGCAAGGGGCTTGGGGGAAAAAAAATCCGAAGCCCATTCTACTACCCCAAATGGGGAATTAGTGAAAAGAAGGGCAAAGCATTTGCCAAACCTCATGCTAGATTTTTATTTTTCAGCAATGCATAGTACTGTAGTGATGAACCTATACAATACTGTGATTAATAGAAGCTATGTAAAACCTATCAATGTAAAAGTGGCGTAAACTACAGATTACAAAAAGACATGCTCTCAGTTTTACCTGTCATGTAGCCACACCATCTAAAATACATCCTTATGTTTGCAGAAACAAACACTAAGGAATATTTTTTGAGACCTTCCCTACTGATTCCAGAGAACATAATGAGAGCAGTGACACATACAGTGAATGATCAGCAATACTACCTCGGTATTAAAAAAAATTAAAAAAAAAAGTTTTCTTGTTGCTGTAGACGAATTCAAATAAAAGCTAGTTCTCCTTTCTGCCCTTTTAAACTCCCCTTGTGGGTCAGATGCCCAGGAGCACCCCCAAATTTCCGGATGTGTCCAGAGAGCCCCTCAAATAGGGAGTTGGCCCTTTTCTGTCTTTCTGTCTCTTTTTCTTCCCTGCCCACCCCCCCCCCACCCCATTTTTAAAGGGCTTTAAGGAACATCTCTGGGAGACAAAAATAGCTCCAGTTGTGAGAGGCCTACACACTGGGAATGCAACAGAGATGCAAGTCAGCAACTGCCAGCCGAGAACAGGAATGTCTGGCCCTGGGTGGATGCTCCTCGCTGTCTGGGTGCCGCTTCTCTGCCTGGGCCCGGTGGGTAGAAGGGAAAATGGTTTTTCCGCGGTGGGCGGTGGGTCGGGATGGTTTGGAGTCTGGCCTTGGAAGGAACGGAGACCCCAGCGTTCGGGGAAGAGGGGCGCTTCTTTCCCCTCCCCCCAAGTTTCCCCAAACGTATTTTGCCCAGCCGGGGATTGGCGACGGTCAAAAGGGAGCCGTTGGCACTGAATGTCACCCTGAAGGTAAAATGAAAGACAAAAGATGAACGCATGCTTGCTTTCCGCTCGGCAGCGGCGGCTGCGGCGGCAGTAACAGCAGCAGGATTTAAAGGGGAAAAAAAAACCCACACACACACAAAAAACCCACACGCACAGACACATAAATACACACCCAGAGGCGTCAATTATGCCAACGCAATAATGCAATCAAATCATGACAGTGCCGGGATTTTTTTTTTTTTTGAGAAATCTAGATATTTATTTTGCAAAAGGGAGAGAGAGAAAGGCATGCAAAGAGAAACGTGCACATACCACGTAACCACCCGAGGAGAACCTGGCAGCCTCTCTCTTCTTCTGCCAAGTTATCATTGAGAAAACAGACAGGCATCATGACGTCCTGGGTCACAGGGAGTGCGGACCGACGCTACCAAGAGCAAAGGGAGGCGCCCGGGCACTCCGGCTAGCGGCGGGCGCCCCTCGGCCGCTGGCCGCCCGGCTCGGTGAGTGCACAGCCGCGCGGGACGCGGACCCCGGGGCCCAGGCCGGCCCCGCAACCGCGGGGGCCCAGCGGGGGGCCGTGCCCTTGGCCCCGGCGCGCCGGCCGGCACCCCCTCGCCCGCCCGAGGTCGCGGGAGCCCAGTTAAAGGAGGCGTGTGTAAGACGTGCAATATTCCTGCATGGGGGTTTTGTAGACTTTCCCAGCCAAAGCGACCGGCTTCGGCTTCTTTAAAATCCCCGACGACTCACCTGCTTAACCTGCTGCAGTTCTGACCCTGCCAAGGTAACTGGTCCAAACCCTTATCATCAACATCTGGAGACAGACATTTGCATCGGGGGCATCCTTAATTTGCAGTCCTGGTGGAAATCTCTATTGCTCCCCCCCTTCCCCCCTTCACTTGTTTAGAGTCTCTCGGAGGAAAAAAAAAAGCAACCCCTCCCTCCATAACACAACCATGAGTACTGTCCCCCTGTCGTAGACTCGCCTTACCATGACTGCAAAACTGTCAGCGCGTGTGTGCTAGAGACACTGATCAATTCTCATTTCCATGAGATTTGTTCTTTAAAACACCTCTCCCATCCCCCTTCCTGGATGAGACTTCAGGGCTTGGGAAAGTGGCAAAGAGTCAGGGCAGAGTTAGGGCGCCGGGACCGCGGTGGGGGATGAGTAGGGGTGGGGGTCCTAGGGGGCGAGGGGAGCGGGGCAGGGGGCCGTTGGGGAGAGGGTGGTGTCCGGAGTTGAGGACCGCTGTCGTGGGCTGGAAAAATCCTTCTGGTGCTTGCTGCTGCCGTAGTCCTAAGGTGTCTCCTTCCTGTCCTCTACGCCTCACCCTCTCTGTCTCCCCAACGCGTTCACCTTCCCGCGGGACTCTCTGAAGTTACACGGAGGTCACCCGACCGTCATTTTAAGTATTTCAAACCACCCACCCCCTTCTAGCCCTCAAGTCTCTCCGATGATCTGCAGGCTAGACCCCCTCCCCCTCACCCCCCAATGTTTGGTGGTGAGAGAGTCGGAGAGACAGAGGGCCAGGCTCGCCTCCTCCGGTTCCCTTCCCTGATCCCCGCCCCCGCCCCCCCTTTCCAGAATCTTAATGCACATTTCTGGAAAAGTCCGGAAGGGCCTGGAGAAGTCCCTCGCGGAGCCTCGATGTTGTGAAGCGATTCTGTCTGTGTTTATCTCTCGTGCTTGCTCGGGTGATGTTGTGAATTGCCACACGGGGCTGGTTTCAACTACGGAGGCTTGCTTGCTGGGGGTTGGTGGTGGACGGCCAAGCACCAGTGGCCTCCCAAGAAGACACGGGCAGACACTGAAAGCACGTGATTTTTGCTACTCTAAACCAGAGGGCAATGTTGAAAATAACACCTTTTCTCTCTCTTTAAAAATAAAAGAAAAAAGAGGAAGAAAGAAAGAAATGCTCAGCATGTGAGTTAAGTGCAGCGGTTAGGGCCACGTATGACTTCCTACTCTTTTCAGAACACTCCTGCTTAATACTTTGAGTCCAGAAGCCGGAGACTGGGGATGTTTTGAAGTGGTGCGGAGCAGTTGAATGACTTGGTCTAGTTTTGAAGAGAGGCTCTCTTTTGTTTCTCACGCTGCCCAAAGACCAAATAGGGGAGTGTGTTTGGAAGAGGCCCAAATTCAGAAGCAGCAGGCAAGGGAAAAGGGGAAGAAAAGTTCTCCAGGGGAAGGCAGGGGATGGGATTGAGGAATGGGAAAGGGGCGTCTGGATTCTTTTTTATTTTTTCCTGTCCGGTAGCTTGGATGTTACCAAAATGAGTTAACCAACCTGAGAAACAGTTTTCTGTCCTTGTAGGCAAGAGAGGGAAATTCGAACAGTTCTCAAATCTGAGCTGAGGAATAGCTGACAGAAGGTATTTGAAAATATGGATGGAGATAAAGGCACGTGATGGGGCTTCTTTTCCTTCAAGTACGAAATGAATCGAGTATATCATGAAACAGGCCTAGATGATTTCTCAAATATAGATCTGTCTGTTAAGCATTTCTTTGTTATTTTTTATTAAAACAGTTCTCATAACTCTTTCCACTCATGTTATGGAGAATTAGAAGCATTTCTGTCGAGGATGGTATCATATAACACAAGAGAGCTGTCCATTGACTGGGAGATGAACGTCAATAAAAGATCATTTCTTCAGCAAATCAAAATAGCATTTCAAGCTTAGTGCCTGGTGTCTACTGAAACCTGCCGATCTTCATTAAGAGGGGATTGCCGAGAGAGTCCAGGGAACCGCCAATGGGTGGTGCTTTAACAAAATAGAGCAGGTCAATCCATTTAGTTACGATGTCTGTGCCACTCAATTTACTCTGTACAGTTTTTTCAGAAATTAAAAGGTTACCAAGAGAGTTCCATGTTCCCATCTCCAACTGAGCACCACTTATTACTGCGACAGGATTTCAATATTAAGTGATCTGGAAGATATTTCATCTTTCACTCTGAGTTCTGAATTTGAATCAGCATGAGATGGCAGGACAGCCAGATAAGGTGTAACCAACCTCATAGGCAGGTAGCCGAAGGGCTGGGAGGGAAAAGTGTTGCTGAGAAGAGTATTTGAGGCTGTTTTCAGAAACCTTGTTTACAGGGACATTTCCGTTGCAGCTAGAATTTTCTCAAGAGCCTGCCAGAGGTAATGGGCTTATGTTTGAAATTGATCCCAAGTGTCTCTCTCCTGGTTTTTTTGTTTTCTTCTTCATGAACTTGCTACGTACCTTAGCTGAACAGTCAAGGGGAAACTTTCCTGATGCCCTGTGACATTTGATAATATAGACAAATCCCTGGTTTAATGTTTCCCAGGAAAGTAGGTTATTTATGAGATTCTTTTTTGTTTACAGATGTGTCCATGCAAGTAGCTTTAGCCCTGTTTTCTTTCTTTTTTAATATTGTGCCTGCTTGATTGTGTTCAATGTAAAACAAATCACATCCAAGGAAGTTAAAGGCTGCCTTACAGGTTGACCTGTGAAATTGGTTTCAATTAGACACTGGAGATCTCATTATCCCAGTGAGGGAAATTTGTAACATAGAAAGTAGAAATTTTGTATTTGTTTCAAAATTATTGGAAAACGCTGGGAACAGAAAGATTTTGAGGGAAATGCCAAAAGCCACATTAATGAAGAAAAACAATGTTGAGATACTTTTGAATAATAGATAGGATATGTAATGGTCAACCACAAGATAAAATTTTTACACAGTATCTTTATGGCTTTAAATGGGCTGCATTGTAAACTAAGCTTACTCCTCTATTAAGTCATTATACTTTTCAATTATTTAACATTTCTGGCCAACCTATCTTCTGTGGTCTTTTTCTGTACACATCAGAAATGATGTGTACACTAGTAATTGCTGGTTGCTAGTGTGGGGAGTTTGCAGTGGAGAAAGGTTTAATTTTAACTTCTTGGGATAAATACTACAAAGAATGCACAAAGGAAAAAGGAAAGTTATGGAAACAGACGGAGCACTATGCAATGAAGAGGCTACAGCCTCGAAGTGTACCTAAAACCATTTGAGTTACTCTCTCTTACTAAGAAACCTTGACAGTATCTGCCTTCTAGGTACTGTGCATTTGGAAATACTATATCTCTATTTAAATGCAGATCTCCTGTTTTCTCCAGGGAGCAGTTGGAAAATCTTTCCATTGAACCACTGGTATTAAAAAACCAACTGAAAATTTCTCTGTGAACAATAGAGCCTGCCGTTTTGAAGTCATGATTACCTAGTTTCAGAATATTGTGATTTTTGAAATTCTCTTACAGTATCTTGATAAAGTCAAAATATGTACCTCATGTGCAAACAAAGAAATTTTCTCTTGTCACTTTGTTGTCAGATTTTAAAAGCTGTGAAATAATTCTGCTTTGCAATTTAGTTTTTGAGGTTAGCAGTGTCGTTCCAGTAGAGTAAGTGGGCCTTAGGAATCAGAGTAGGGAATTATATGGGAGTCCTGTATCCTCCTTATGCTCTCAAGGGAGCTGATGGCATAGGGTGCTGTAGGAAAGTTTAAGTATCTTCCTCTGGAACCATCTTCTTTACATTACTTTCAACTGAGTTTGTAATAGTGTTTTGTATTGGAATCAGTGGTAAGTGGTGGCCAACAAGGAGAAGGACCTTCTTTTGAGAGATGATGGCAGAAAATAATTCAGTCTTTTGGCATAGAATGTGGACACACAACCTTATGGTTTTGAATCTTCAGATTGAGGTCACTGGAAATATCTTTGGAAGTCATCAAATAAAAATTCCCTAAGTACATATGGTAGTGATGCTAAGACTGTTTTTCACATAGCTAGGGCAGTTTCCTTTCCCTTGGAAATTAGATGCCATTCATTCAAGTGCCTAAATGATTTCCAATTATGAAGGCTCACTCCCCCCTTAGCTGACTTGCTCCATTGTATGGGGTGTTAATTCTTCCTCCCTTTCTGCTTCTGATACGTACACCTTTAACTATTTTATAATGTGTTTATACCATTATGCTCAATAATACCTGTGATTGTGAAGAAGAATCACTGGTAGTTTTAAGTCAGGCCTCTGTTTATATTTCTGTTGTGAAAGATACTTGGTTTGTGTAAACAAGGGAATGATCATAGTTACCATAAAATGGGGTTAAATACGTTCAGAATTCCTGTGGTCAGATGCAAGACCCTGGAGAATCAAAGCTATCTTATTTACTTATGGACACTTACAGCTGTTTCAGATGGCACATCTGGTAAAATAAATAACTTGGATAGGGCCCTATAAAGGATGCTAACTAATGAATGTGCTGATTTGACTTTCCTTACACAAATGACTTCTTGTTTTTAACGTGGCAAGTATGCGTAGCTGTCACAGTGATCTTTGACTGGAAGATTCAAATTTAGGATGCTAACTTTATATGAAGCATAGAAAAACTTTTGTACTCCTATTCTGATACTTATGTGGTAGGATAAACTGTGTTTCCCTGTATCTGTGTTACCAGAGTGACCCATTTAAATTCAATCTCACTCTAAGATATATTAGATTAATAAGGCTGATTTTATGACCATTATAATTTATATTCACAAATACTTGTTTTAATTAGCACAATTATAGATTGTGAGGTAAATTTCCATATATGTTAAACACTGATAACAGAAAATAACTAACATTTGTATAGCGTGTTATGGTTTGTAACCATACATTCTCTGTAAGCTGTTCTTTAGAAGAATATCTATTGCATTTTCTTATGCAAGAAGGCAATCAGTTTTTATAA